GAGATATTTTATTTGAATTGTTATATCTATTAATATTTTTAAATATATATTCTTTCATGGTGTGTAAGAGTCTGGATGTCTTGATGGAAGACATACTTGATCTCTCTTTAGAATCAATGTTATTTATATAAGTAAGTTATGTGAAAGAATAAGGATAAAAGAGAAATCAAGATTTTTATATGGATTATTTTTAAAAAATTTTGATTTTCTTAGAAGGTCTGCTAAAGCATATTTTCATAGATCAAAGTTTATCTTAATTAGAATATATTTCATGAAAATCATTAAGAGGTAAAATTCCTTTGTGTATGAATTAAAATCTTATATGCAATGGTTTAAAAATAGAAGTAAATGATCGATTAGAGAAAAATCCTCGGATGCGGGTAATCGGGTAGAAAGATCCGGCACTCGTCTCTAGTGGCTCTGAAGGATAAGTTGGAAGGAGATGGAGGACAGGATGTGATTGGGGCAATTCGAGTGGTCTTTTGAGGCCTCGGAAAGGTTCATCTTTTCGGTGACAGACGCAACAGATACAGACAGCTACATTAAAATATGCGCACAGCGGAGGAGCATCAACTACAGTAATAACACATCCAAATTGTTGCTTATGATTGATTAGCTATTCTTTCCAGGAGAATCACACTCTGCTCTTGCCTACTGATATGACGCCCGGTGGCAGAAAGAGGACTTGAAAGTGCATTATCTAATCTTATTGCGCTGTCTTGTGACGCAGATAACAGGTACGGCATTGGTGCTCGACGAAATTATCAACCATGTCCAGTCTCTGCAAAGACAAGTCGAGGTGCGCCACTTGCCCCACCACTACCGCCCCTCTCTCTCTCTCTCTCTCTCTCTCTCTCTCAATAATGTCAGTCGCAGATTTACCAAAAAGCCCCACGCTTGTAGAACAATTGTAAGCAATAACGTCACCGATTTCTCCACCGTGCTTCGCAGTTCCTGTCGATGAAACTAGCGGCGGTCAACCCAAGGATCGACTTTAGCGGCCTCGACCACATACTATCGGCAGAGGTAACGCCTCGTTCTTCGTTCCCGTCTTCTTTCTCTGAATATCATGCGATAAAGGCCACATATAGAATATAATTCTGCAACGTTGTGTGCGCTCAAACCTCTTGATCGCGACATGATGTTGTGAGTTCCGTTTGTGGTGTATTAAATGCTCGATCGCCGTAATGCCTCACTATATGCTGATGGGCGTACGGTCGTGGTACGTCCTGAGACGGGAATCGAGTTGATTTGACGTGAAACGTTGTCGTTAATGGCAGTGTGGACCGCTGGCGGTGGCCAGCGGGTGTGGCGGAGGGGCCTCGGACCCCGCCATGTGGGCGTCAGACACGGCCGCATCCACTGGCGGAATACGGCGGATGCCGGCGCCGCCGCAGATTTGGCACCTCGATGTGGTGCACCCCCAGCAATCGTCGACGGTGTGGGAGAACAATGGCGTCGCACATCCCCACTTCCTCCTTAGCCCTGCGACCTCACTTGTTGGTTATGACCCTGCCAGTTCCGGTAATCCTCCTACCTTACTCTTACTGTTACCGGTGTTCGTATGCTTGGCACATGTGTAACATTCACAATTTAGAGTATCCATGGGCTTTAAATTCTTATAGAGCTAGAAGTTTAAAACGTGTCAGAGTGGATTCTGAGTTCTAAGGAAAAAATTTGGGGAGGACAAAGTAAAGATTTTTTTTTTTGGGTGAATCCTCAATGCTCCTGTTGGAATCGGGTGGCATTGCCGGGCCCAAAACTATAAATAATTACTTCAGGCAATGAGGGCCTCCTCTTTTTTAATTTCTCTACCCCCGCCCTCACCTAGTTCTGATCTGGTCCCAATGGTCCCTTTGGCGTAGATTTCCTCCATTACTCACTTTGTACAACTATCTTTTGTTTCTGTCGATCCTGGACGTTGGGCAACAAATTGTCGTCCGCGAAGTCGGTTTTCTTTTTCCTGTTCCTACCTCATAAGTTAACTATCGGTACCGTAAAAGGCTCATTGGGTTCGATCTTTTCGGGTCAAGTGGATGACAGCAGCATTGCCAGTTTGTTGGTTCATTTCCGTGTCAAACTTTGCTAGTTATTTTCCTTTATTTACTTTGTCGTCAAGGACACATACACATTGGACTTTCACTTAATTTCCATGTGATCTTGAAGATGTACACTGTTCGTTGGTCTCTGCCAGTAGTGATGCAGCTGTCTAGCTGAGGAACAGCTCATGTTCTATTGAGAATGTTAGAACTCAAGTTCTTTTGACATTCTTGGCAAAACTTTAAGGCCTATTGGCAAATTCAAACTATCTACTGTTATACTTTTGAGACTGTTTGAATCGAACATTGAGGGTGATAATGTTTTTACCGCTTATCGAACATGCTTGTTCAACAGTAGGCACTCTTAAGAACTTTGCAAAGATCAAGAATGGCTTAAATATTCTTGTTTACAAGTTGTAACATATAAAAGATGGTGTAATTCAGCTACTTCTGCCAGTAATTAACTTTCGACTTAGAGTTTAAATAATTTTGCTCACCGAAAATTATTTGACGAATCCCAAGAATATGACAAGTGGTCATATGGATTCAGAGACAACTGTGTCCTTGTCCTTTTGTATGTGTTTAATATCAACTGGAAAAAAAAAACCTTAATGTTGATACATGCTAGTTATAATGACTGCTGGCTGAAGCTATTTCACCAACCGGATAGAAAAGCGCTTTTTACTGTATTACTGCACTTGATTGTTGATGGTGTTAGCTAAGTAATAGTATTATGCTGTTTTAAGAAGGCATGTATATTTAACCTAGTTGCTTCTAAAAACATCTTTTAAGGTTAAAGAATGAAGGACTGTGAGTGGTTGGTGTATTACTTGTATCTTGATGCTTAATGATGGAAAAGCCTCTTGGTAAAAGACTTATATTTGTATGTCTTTGTGATGGACCCAACTCCACTATCTTCATGATTGCTGCCATTTTGTTGTAAAAACCCATATCTTCATGAAAGCTGTGTTTGTAGAGACCTATGTAGTCATGAACACGATTCTATTACTTTTTTAACCTTTATGCACGTCTTAATTATCATCCTTATGTAAGCATAAATATTTTCTGACCTCTCCACATTGGTTGCTTTTTTGTTTCTGTAGTGCCACTAAATTCAAACCGACTGAAGACGGAACTCTAAACTGCAGCATTGGTGGTGCTTTGGTACTATCATAACACCTGTATGCACAGCTCAGATCTAATATATTGTTAGGATGAGTCGAGTGGACGTATTCCTTGCATTACCGTCTCTCTGATCATTAATCTGTAGAGCATGATACCCTAATTCCTCATATAGTATGCATATATAATAAATCTTAATGTTCCTATCTAAGCAAGCAGCAGCCGTTTGATTTAAGTGGTTCAGGTCACCATTTTATAAACGAGATCACGGTTCCAAATCACTTTTGTTTAATACGTTTTAATACAGAATCAATTCAATATATAATGAACTTTGTTTCCCAGACACTCATGTTTCAAACTGCTATAGAAACTTGATGCCCGCTGCATTATATCAGTAGCTTTAGATTTCAATATACCTTAAAAGATTGGTTTGATAGTGACGGATCAAACCCACTTATTAAAGATTAAAAAAGATTAAAACATCTTTCAATATATCTTATTACACATACATACATACATATTGATCTGATAATACCCAGAATATTTATCTGATAGTGTACTAATATGCTTATCAAAGATTAAAATTATTTAAAATTTCATCAGACACCAAAAATTTTAAAGATACAAACTAGATTAAGATTTTATTAGATCACTGTAGTCACTTAGGATCAAAGAAGATCGCCGTTGGATCTAAGGTACACTGCCTTAATAACTTGAAGTAGATAAAAGAGGGAAAAATAAAAAGATACCTTGTTAACAAAACTGATATAGATTAGAGAAAGGTTATTTCTATACCTCAAAACTCTAATCATCTTTATCACAAAGGAACAATCTCATTGCGACACCAAATACAGAGTGTAGTTCGTGTACCCACCAATAGCATCAGCTATCATATACCACTTCATTTATAGTTGCTTATACAGTCATTTGCTGATAGTATGCTAGTAGCAACTTCTGTATCAACATCACTCCCTTTCCAAAAGCCACACCTCAACTTCAGAGGATATGATATGTGAGATTACCAAAGTAAATTCACACCACCACATCATAAAAGGGAAGCAATACAAACACATGCTGTAGGACCAAATATAACAACAAAGAAACTGCTGATACAAACAACTCGTTTACCACAGAAATGATATAAAATGCAGTTCATGTACCATGCTGATGGTAACAATTATTGACATAAAACCACATCTGCTAATCATGGACTAACAACAACACCGCCTATAAACATGTCAGATTAACAACGCAAACCTCAACTTTTTGAGAGCCTTAACACAGTAGCACAACATGAGAGGAAAAACTGCTTCATTCTTCTATAGTACTAACATCAATAAACATAGGAATATGGTAAGAGAAAGAGGTGGAGGGGTGCAGGGAGGAACTATCGAACTTATGTATCATCCTTTGGTAATTCTTACACCTGCTGATATCACAACACCCAAAGTTCAGAGTCTGTACCTTGAACATGGAATTAATCAAATCAAGTATTGTCGAAAAGACTCGATATATGACACTTATCATGCAATACACACAAGTGGGGTTATACATTGTCTCAATGTTCGTAGGTAAATGAATTTATATAAAAGAATATAAAGCAAAAGAAAAAGTTCAAGGTGGATGAATTTCCAGATAGAGGCATTAACACAAACATCGCAACACAAAAAGTGTAATCAGGGAAAAGGTAAATAAAGAAATACTACAAATACTTTGCTAATATACCATAGCAACACTTGTTCCAAAGGCTATTTCTACAAAGATCAATTCCCATCAGCAGAGGAAAGGATGACATGCAGATTTGGCTTTTGCAGAATTGAAGCATGCAGTCTATCTTGATAAGATGAAACAAATATATGACTTTTGACATGAATCCATGCACTATTTGATTATTACTACCGTCCATAGAATGTATCATGACAACCAAGTCAGAAACAAACCTAATTGAAGCATTAGACGACAGAACCACCAAAGCAGCACATATTAAAGTTTATGCAGCAGAACCAACATGGAGACCTTTTCCAACCAACAAAATAGAGTTCATGAAGCTGTAAGGATGCCCTATGCATCGGTGATCCAGCCATTTATAGCATCAAAGGACACCAAGAACCAGCTGAGTGAAAGAAAAGGCATGATAATGTCGAGATCATTGGACCAGAGTTCGTTAAGCTTCACCCCATAGCTCTAGATCTTGTCAAGCTTTTCAGCCTTAACGACAGGGTTTGCTTTGGCAATAGCATCCTGCGCTGCCTTTCGGTAATCGAATGGGCAGTCATGCTTATCCGAATAGCGGTGCACAGCGCAGAAAAGGTTCCCACACCGACAACTGAAGCCAGTCAGACCAACCCGTTTCCTACAAGTGCCACACCTGTTAGGGCCCTCCTTTGCCTTTGCTTCTCCAGCTTCGGTCAAGCCTGAAGCATTAGATGTCTGTGCTGAAATCATCTTAGGCTCCACAGAGACAACAGCTACATCAGCATTCCCAGACACAACATGCTCTTTTCCGCTACCACTGCTGCTGCCATTCACAAGACTGTCGATCGAGGATGCTGCCATCTTGGCCCGTTCCTGCTTCTGAATCATCTCCTTGTGGCACTTGGAGCACATGTTCATGGTTGCCGCACTTCCAAAGAAACCACAGTTGTTGATGCAAAGGATTGGTCCTTCACGGGCTTGGCATCCTGTCTCATCATGCTCCATCGCTAACTCTCCTGTATCACATTAACATCAGCCGAGAACAAGAAAGTCATTTACATGACAATTTAAATCTAGTGCATAGAAATCTAATAACTCTATTACTCACACCAATTTACGACCATAAACTCCATAGTACTTCATAACCTATATGCTCAATCTGACCCAGAAAACCAACAAAAATAAAAAAGAATAATAATTTTCCTACAAACGGGAACAGTGTAAAAAAAAAAGCTACTTTAATCTCTCTGTCTCTCTCCTTCTCTCTCCTTCTCAATTATAGAAGACATCTATCTATGTCGATCTAGCGTTGAAAAAAAGAACATAGGGAAAAAAGACGGACGGGTACACAGAAGTGGCGACTATTCAAAGCCTATGACCTCAAATTAATCCCCAAACTCATCATAAACAACTAACCAAAAGGGAGAAATGAACGTTCATAAAAATCTTTCTATTTTCAATCATAACAGCGAAAAAAAATCATAGCTTTGCTGCAAATCTCTTGCCTTTATTTCTTGATATCCAAATAAATCGAAGTTTACCATGATCTTTGGAAAAAACAACGATAACGACTCATGAGAAAAGAATCATCTTCTCTATTATCGATTCGAGAATTTTCCCTTCACAATACGCCAAGCAATAAACATAAAAAGAACATTTCAACCTAAAAATAAAACCCTCGATCAGGTAGGAATCAACATCATTAACAAATCCAAGCCCAACCCTGACTCCCCTCAAACATGAGGAAGAAAAAAAAAGCACCTTTTTGACGGCCCTCGTCAAGATTCTTCTGCGGAGATCTCCGCCGTTCAAACCGCTTGGCGATCCCTGCTGGAAAGAAAGAAGAGTAGAAGTCGAATAAGCGAACGGATTGCAAATACTCCGCCCACTGGTTTAAGAACGAGAACAGAAATAGATCAGGTATAGTAGAAGGGAACCGAAGCCCTAACCTTAAGGCCGGAAATCGCCTCCCAATCCTCCTCGAATCGAGGACTGCCAAAGGAGAGTTATGAGAGGGAAGAGATGGAAAGGGCCAAAGAAGAGCCCGGAGAGGAAGGCATTAATTACTTAGTCGGCTTACGTGTCGTCCATACGACGCCTTCTCCCTCTTCGCTCTCGAGATTGTATGCGTGGCAGATTTTCAACCGTCCGATGCCCATCACGAAGTCGATGTCATCGCATGATTTGACACATGGGCGGCGAGAAGGCGTTCCCGCATACACTTCTCTATGCGTACACCTCTCTAAAATGAAGGATTGTGATACGTGGCGTTTCCCGACGGCTCCAGGCGCGCCAGCTTAGACCCGGTCCAAGCCTACCTGTCTCGGCAGAGCGACCGGCCAGGGAAGTTGCGATTCCCACTGGCAGAACTCCGCGGGACCCGCGGGAGACTGCGCTAGCCACCAGTAGGAAGGTGTCCTTCCGCTCCATCGGCCTTCTCAGTGTGTTCGCATCTCGAAAGGTATAGGCCCTTTATGGGCCGCATTGGGCCGACAGAGACCCATCAGTAGCATCTCTCAGTGTCTTTGCGTCTCAAAACGTAAAGACTCTTCATGGGCCGTATTGGGCCCAGAGAGAACCCGCAATTGCCCCCTCTCTCTTCGATCGGTTGGAGTTTCCGCCCGAGCGAGACGGGGAGAAGGAGAAATATAGGGTTGTGGAAGAGAGCGCCGAGGGTAACGCAGAAGAAGATGGAGAAAGAAACTCTAGGTGCCTATGAATGCTCCTCCTCCTCGTCCGACGACGAGTTTGTACTAGGTATCCTTTCACCCATATTCCCCTGACCTTCTCACTTCTTCTACGATCCATCCAAAAGCCGTAAATTTTTATGTCTCGTTTGTTAGATCTTGTAATTTTGAAATGGGTTTGGATGTTGTGCTCGGTCTTCCTCTGTTTCGTAGCTCACTTAGTGATCCCGGCTATCCTTGGCTTCTGAAATTGTTGGGGTGGCTGGAGTTGCGCATCTGAGTCTATAAAAGGTCCGGCTTGTAGAATTTAGGCGCTCGAATGCGTTCTTCTTGGAAATTTTGTTGGCTTGCCTTTTTTGGTTTCTGGAAAATTCAGTGTGTTCAGAGTTTCTTGGACTGGTGGTTAGCTGCCCCAGATAAATGAAATGGCTCCTGTAGCTGATGATAATGGTAGTGTTTGCAGACTTTGGATTGGACAAACGAGTGTATGAATCATATATATTGGAAGAATGAAAATTGAGCTCCACTGTCAGCAAGTTTTCATTTTTAATGAGTTAGTCGGTATACTAAATAATAGGGCCTTAATTTTGAAACGCAAGGTTCATGTGTGAGTAATCAGATGAACACAAAGGATATATGTTTCTTCTTCTTGTTGTAAACTGCTCCACCTCATTCTATGCAAGCTCCTCCTGATCCTTTATTGACAACATTTTGTAGCCAACATAGGTCTTGCCAATTACCATAAAGCAAAGCAGTTTTCATTCTATCACGTGTCATTGTTCAAGACAACTTTCGACGGCTTCAGCTTCATCCTTCATGATTTCAATGAAGTGCATGTTCTTGATGTTTGTGGTAGAACTTTCTTTTCCATCAAACATCTTTCAGATTCTTGAAGGATAATCAAGATCATCTGTGATTATCGTGTAATTTCTAGAGCAATGCTCTTCATTGTTGAGTGATAATAACTATTATGAAGCAGTTCTGAGTATTTTAAATTTACCAGCTTGCTGTCTTGAGCCTTTAAAACGATTAGTGTACAAATTTGTCATTGAGATTGCCACTTCTCCTTTAATGGGGACTATTTAGTTCAAGAAGGAGCTTCTAAAGTACGTTGGTTTTCCTATTTGTTGCTTTGCTTCTCATGTTTGCTTAAAGATGGTCTATTTTCTCTTTTGTTTCTTCCTTTTGAAAGCATCTTTATACCTTCAAGCGTATGATCTCACATAATTTTGCATATCCAATGGTCACTTGTGTAGATTTGCATGGTGATCAATCACTCTAAAGACCCAGTTGATGAGACATAGTTCTATTATGGTATCTATTTGTGTTTAATTTTTATGTATCTTTAAGTACAAAATTGAAAGAAGGAAAATCTCAGATTAATATGTGCTACTATATTGAGATGTGGATCTTGTGGTCGAAACACATAATTTCAGCTCTGGACTGTTGTCATATTTTTTGAGGATGCAAAACAAATATTCCAACTGTTGCAAAAGTAATCCAATTGTTTGTCTTATCTTTCAGGGCTAACTACAGAGAATCAGATTTGGAAGAAGATTCTTTGAAGTACCTATGTGTGGCATTCATGTGCAACAATGAATAGGTACATCAAAAGTGCACCTTTTATTTGACTTCAAATACTTGGATTTCACTGCCTGATGTATGTTTCTGCATTTTGTTTTACCATAGTAATGAGAAGGTATAGACTTTAGCGTGTAATTTATTCACAACCTGATACAATAGTGATAATACAACTAGTAAATTCCTAATCTCCAACTATTTATCTCTTGGATTCAGGCATTTTTCATTTGATGTTTAATTCTGATCCAAAGCTGGATTCATGCTGCTATAAGGATATAATTGATGAGGCAATAACTGAAGAAGAGATATGTTTGTTGTTCTCAATCATAAACCCATTATGTCAGTTGTAGTTTGTGAAGAATTAAACATGTAATTAAGGATTTCTTAGCCAGTCCTTACTATCCCCAAAAAAAAAAAAAAACTTATTTATCTGTTTACATATTAGTTACAGTATTATTAATTATATCCCTCTGATGGAATTACATTCATGCTCATGTTGACTTTTTGTTACTTTGATGATGAATGATATAATCAGAAACCTTGTTTGAAAATCCTTGTGATGAATGCAATATTTCCATCAACAGGCAGCTTATGTTGACGCAAAGATATTTCTTTTTTATTTTGTAGGAGAGTTGAAGACAAATAAGGCTTATCAAGAATGGTCCAATAAAGCATCTGAAAGAGAAACTCCATCCAATCCAGTAGTTAGTAGGCTGGAGTAGTTTTCTCAAAACATGTCCATCAATTAATGCAACTTGTTTTCTCCTGACTGAAGCATCATTTTGACAAATTTTTTAGGTCTAGAGAACAAGAAACAGATAAGGGTGCAGTTTGGCTCTGCTCTCTCTTTGGCAGGTCAGGAAGCGAAAGCATTGGTATGTTGAGAAAGTTTTTGTTAGAGACTTACATTGAATTAATAGCATTATCCGCATGGTGATCACATGAAGCCTTTGGTTCTCTGTAGTATTAGGTTTTATAAATGAGGAAGAATCTTATGTTCATAGTTTCCTTGTTGATATATTTCATTGTTTATACATCAGCTCTTACATAGTTTTGTTGTCGCTATATCTCGTAGCCATGCCTGTATACATCAATTCTTACATGGTTTGATTGTTGCTATAACTCATAACCATGCCTTTATACGTCAATTCTTACATGATTTAAGTACTAGGATAATTCCGAGTCGCTTTGTCCTCACCTGTAGACTATGCGCACAGTATTTTAACCATCAAGTAGCCATTTCACTGAAGAAACTTAGATATGTATATGGTAATTTAGCCAGGTGATCCAGAAGAAAATAGGAAACATGGAATAGGAAGAACACTACTTCTGTGGTTGCATCTTCTGAACATATACATTGGAACAGGATGGTCATTCATTTAACATAGTTGCATCACATTACAATGGAAGATGAAGTAAAACCAAGAAGACAGTAGGCAATCCAAGACTGGTGGAAACCGACCAAGAGATGTAGAAAGAAGAAACAAACATGAAAGAATTGCATTCTTTCCATGTACATATGCCACAGCAAGTATTTAGTTGAAGTAGGAGGCCACAAAGGAAAGGAGGGATGCTGCAACCAGCGTCATCAGGGCTGGGACTGGCACAAATGCTGCACTTGGTGATGGGGGAGATGCCTCAGGCGCACCGTGGTCGTGGCCTTCATGAGCCAACACTGTGGTGGCGGAGGCAGCAGCAACGATGAGGGCGAAGCAGGCTACCAGCTTCTTCGTCTCCATTGATGAAGTCTACCGTGTCCCCTTTTATCTGCCTCTACAGATGGAGAGGGGGGAGATTTATAGTGTTTGTTCGGGTTCTCCAACCTTCTGTAAGAAAAGATTAGGTAGGACAGAGAATATTATATTGTTGTGATCGGCTTCCCATGTATTAAATCAAAGTAAAAAAAATTTAGGTAGGACATAATATTATGTTATTATTATTATTATTTAATGCAGCTTATCATAAATTAAATCAAGTAATAAATAGAAATACTCTGTGTTGACTTTTGTGCTTTTGTAAAAATACTGTTTATTGTTGTGGTCAGCTTACCATACATTAGATCAAGTAAGAAAATTTTAGGTAGGACAGACTATTATATTATTACTATGCAGCTTATCATAAATTAAATCAAGTAATAATTAGCAAAGCCTCCTCGTTGACTTTTCTCTTTTGCAAAAGTACAGCAATTAGAAGTTCAATTGTAGTACAATAAAGCTTAAATCGAGGCTGTTAGGGTCAGCAATTGTTACATTTATGAGGTTTGGTGGAGATCTATCATTAAAATTGATTGGCATCTTTCAAAATCAATCTCTATGAATTTACATCCATTTAATTGATCTTTTCAAAGATACAAAATCTTATCATCAATTAGGATAATAAGATCATATAGTTCATCATCCTTAAATTGAGTTAAGAATTATTTTTATGATGCTAGTTAGCTTAGTTGTTTTTTTTTTCTTTCAGATTGTTATAAATTTCATCTTTGCTACTTTTAACACAAAAAGAATTCCAATTTTATTTTTGGGCAAAGAAATGGTCATCGGTCATGACATGGTGGGTTGCATGTCGACTACATCGACGTGGGAAACGGGGTTGACTAATTATTTGTGGATTAGCATGTGGGTTGACATTATCGTGCCTCCAATTATATACTCCAACCTGCAACCTTATGTACGTGTTCACAGCTGCAAATAATAAGAGGTGTGTGTTTGACTTTTTGCAATCTTACTATCTTTTAAAGGGTCTTCTATCGGGTTTCTTTTTGTAATAATAATGTGATTCGTGCATCCATGCAATCACACAAAATTAGTGTCCAATGTTGAATATTAAATCAAAATCACCCAACAAAGAAAGAAAATAAAACTAAAAGCTAACTATGTGATGGCCAAAAAATTCGGTCGTGACGTATACAAAATTGTTGGTAGTCCTTTTGAAAGGAAGAGTTGGGTGAGATGTTATTATGCCAAAATTATGCCCTAATCTCTTTCTATGCTCTAATTAAACTCGATTAAATCGGTTCGGAGTTTGGGTCGAATATTCTCATGTTAATTAATTAACTTCCAAGATGACGATCGAATGCGACACGTCAGTAAGTTTTCTGTGGGACGACATCCACCGTTGGAAATCAGATCAAGCGTCACGATCAAATCTAGTCACCCACCTCGCTTACGAGTTCTCTATGCGGTCGGTCATTCGCCGGACCGACGCGGTTTAGAAACCCTATGCTGCTGGTGATATATATACGCACGCCGGCGCCCTCCGCCGGCTTCGGCTCTCTCTCTCTCTCTCGCCCTTCCATTCTCATCCGCTGTTTCTCGAGAGCGAGAGAAGGGAGTGAAGGAGACAGGAGGGATTGTTTCCTGTCGCCGATTTCGAGAAGGGTAAGACTCCATTGCTCTCTCTCTCTCTCTCTCTCTCTTGCTATTTTCTGGTCGAGATTTGGAGCCGATCGACATCGTTTTATAAGATCGTATCGCTCTGACGGGTAGATGTATAAACGAGGTTGTGGAATTTTTGCCCTTTTCGTGCATTTGTCATGATCTCTTCTTTTGTTTGACGATCGGGGGTGCACTAGTGGTAAGTCTCGTGGATTTGTGGTGGGTATTGTATATCCCCACCCTGTAGAGGTAGTATAAGGAAAGGTCGTCGTCAGTTTTTTCCTTTTCTTGCATTCGGTGTGATCCTTTGGTTTTCTGTATGATTATAGTATGAACACCGATGCACTAATTTTGCTGCGTCTCTCTCTCGTTAGAATTGGAGCAAAAATCTTATTTTTATGCAATCTATTTTGTTTGATTGGTTTAGTTGCTTAATCTTTCTTTATTCCTCTATATGTTAATGCAAGCGAAGCAAATGTTTCATTCTGCTGCCTCTCGTTTCAGATTATGATTAGATGCTGTTAGTTGTATGTCGTGATTAAGCTAATGCATTGATGTATTTTGCTTGGACCATCTTCTCTTGATTCTTGTGAGAAATATTGTAATGTTTTGTGAGTTGATAGGTGAAGATGGGATCGGCTATCTCTGTCCCCTTCACTATCTGTTTTGTTTTAAGGGTCTCATATGCAGCTGAAAGGAATAAAAAAAGAATGTACATGAAACAATGTTTCTTCTTTCTTAGGTTCCATAATATTTACGACTTTTTAGAATTGACATTCTAGTTCTTAGTTTCATTTATCTCTAACGGATGTGTATGATATCCTTATCCTATGATTTCTCATAACAATGGTCGTCAGTGCTCTTTGGTCGTGATAAATATTTAGTATATTGGTTTTAGTTGTGACTTTTGTTTTTTTGCTCATCTATTAATAGTTCATTGTTTGGATGGGACTATTATGAACTTTTCAAAAGTTGTTTTTTGTTCTTCCTGTGTCTTGTACCCCCGTCCAAAGATGGTCTTTGTTGCCTGGTCATTTAGATTTCATATCTAGGGTTTACACAACACGATGTCAACCCACTTCAGCTGGTGCTGAGTTCACCGCAAAGGTGATTTTGGGCAAACGAGGGTTGTGTTTTAAAGGTGAAAGGCTTGTCGACAAGTAGAAAACTGCACCATTTTTTGTTGCAGTTTGAGTTTAGGCAACTAAGGATGTAATCCACAATCTTACACCTAAGCATGGAGTTTAGAATAATGGGAAATGACGAGCTTTCCACAGCACAAAATAGTTAAATTAAAATCAGAAATTAAGTATACATTGGATGTCATCATTTATTTTGTTACACATGAAATGTCAATATCTTTTCAATTTCTACTGATCTGGTAGTTATGTGTTCTGCATGGAGACTTTTCTGGAAGTGAGCCATGGCCGATGAAATTAACCATCCCAACTGTGGTCCAAAAATTTGTTGACCAGTTCCGTCTTAGTTCTACCTTTTCACGAGACATGCAAGCTGCTGGTTACAGCTTCAATATGCCTTTGGTACACCAGAGACACTTCACAGCTGCAAACTACATCAACGGTGCACCTCAAACTCGAGTGATGCCCGGATGCAGAGCCAGCTATGATCTTTCTATGGTGTGATCTGCATCGCCTAATTTTGGGAATGTGCCTTAAGAAAATGGTTTTGCAATAGACTTCCTGATGGGTGGAGTCTCTGCTGCTGTTTCCAAACCAGCTGCTGCTCCCATTGAGCGTGTGAAACTTATCCAAAACCAGGACTAGATGGTAAAGACTGATCATCTTTCCAAACCTTATAAGGGGATCACAGCTGCTTCAAATGAACAATTTAAGGATTAAGGTGCTCTCTCACTGTGATGAGGAAACACTGCAAATGTTATATATAATTTCCCAACCCAGGTGAGTTTTAAATATTTATTACTATTTGTATTCACTTATAGCAGCTTATTCCATCACAACATTGGAGGGGAATCTATGCATAGTGGGAGTAGTCAACCTTGTTTTTCGTACACAGGGAAATAGATGAATCTGATTCAACTTGATCATGTGACCTACTGTTGACATCATTTACCTGGTGATAAATTTTTTTCATGTGTCGTTTCTTGATTGGTTTGTTTTATGATTTGTCCGATTGATGGATGTTTGTCTGCAGGAACAGTTTTCATTTTTTTCTTTTATCAAGTGGGTGATCGAGTGCTCCAGGTCTGCATGATTAATCTTGACTTGTGCAAGCTGAATAACCAGTGCCTGACTTGTATTCTTGTTCTCCCTTAGAGGTTCCTAAATAGATGTTCTTGTGGCAATGTCCACATCAATTATGTTTTAAGGTTTATTGAAATTGTATTGTTGTAGTTTTTCTTCATATATTAAATTGCCTCGTATTTGATGTTCTCTTTCAGTATGTGGCTTCGCAAGTCATATATTTTTACTCTTATTTTCTCGAGATCTTATTCAGGAGTTGTCTGTTCTTGACTTTTAGCTTAATGGTCGCATTGTGATCTGTACATCAAGTCTTTGTCTTGCTCTTTTCTATGATATTATTACATCTTCTCTTGTTATCTTTCCCAGGCACAAAACTTTGCTTTCAAGCATTACTTCAAAAGAATGTTCGATTTCAAGAAAGATAGAGATTGATACTGGAAATGGTTTGCTGGAAACCTTGCTTCTGGAGGTGCAGCTGGTGCTTCCTCTGCTCTTTTGTCTACTCACTGGATTATGCCCGAACTCGTTTGGCAAATGACGCAAAAGCTGCTAAAAAGGGTGGGGAAAGACAATTCAATGGCCTCATTGATGTTTACAGGAAGACACTGCAATTTGATGTCATTGCTGGCCTTTACCGTGGACTTAATATTTCATGCGTCGGAATCATGGTATATCGTGGTCTTTATTTTGGAATGTATGACTCCTTGAAGCCAGTGGTTCTTGCAGGAAAATTACAGGTACGTGGCTTGTGTTAGTTATTCAAGATTGTTTTCAAAAATATATCATTAACAATCAGCAAGTAATTGTGCGAAAAAGAATTCAGAAGTATGTGTCGTATGGTTAGCATTTACATTGGCAACGGCATCCAATCGAAATGTAAACTTGAATGTGAAGGTCATTTTGATTTATCTTGTCTTAGACGGCAATGGTGTGTATCTAATTTAAGCTTGTCGGATGATTTCAGGATAGTTTCTTTGCTAGCTTTGCCCTAGGTTGGGTGATCACCAACGGTGCCAGACTTGCATCGTACCCCATCGGTACGGTCTGCGGAAGGATGACGATGACCTTGTGGCAAGCTGAAGTACAGGAGCTCACTGGATGCCTTCCCCCAGATCTTGAAGAACTAGGGTGTGAAATCCCTGTTGTTCAAGGGTGCAGGCACCAACATATTCTCCACGCCATTGCCGGTATGAGTGTTCTCGCCGCCGGCTAGGATAAGCTGCAGCTGATAGTCTTGGGGAAGAAGTATGGCTTTGGTGGTGCATGAGTAACAGAACATCACATCACCTCACTTTTTTGGTTTTTTGGCGTTCAAATAATTTATTTTATGCTGGGAG